TATAATGTTTTAACTCAGATCTGAGACCTGGTGCTTTCTGCAGGAACCCATAAAGACCCTGAGTCAAGAGTTTACTATAATTTTACTTGACCTTTTGTTGATTGTTAGATGCCAGAGGATCACACTTGGAGCCTGAGTTGAGCTGAAGTGAGAGCCCACTTATAAGTCAACCTACAGTTTGTAAACTCAGCTGAACAGCTCCCACTGTGGGGACTGCAAGACAATGTAGTTAACAATCTAGTTTTGTAGCTACACAGCAGAAGTTGATCTGCTGATTGAATGCAATCCTTTGTGTTTGGCCAGGGTCAGGAGAACCTAGGATATTTAAAAAAAAAGCTCCTATACTAATTTATAATCTCATTAGTCCCTATCTATCCATTCATTTCTGTTTTGAAATCGAGTTTTGATGAGGACTGTCATAGAAATCCCTCTCCTCTCCTCTCCTCTCCTCTCCTCTCCTCTCCTCTCCTCTCCTTTCCTCTCCTCTCCTCTCCTCTCCTCTCCTCTCCTCCTGTGTGTGTGATTAATGCGTAGCAGCAGGGAGTTCCCTCCAGCAGGAAGGACCTGGAGGAGTGATCTCACCCCACTCCTGAGTCCCTCCCAGACAGAAAAAGAGTGAGACTGGCTGACGTTGGTCAATATTGACCTTCTTCTTCCACCGAAACTCCCAGGCTTGCTGTGCTCAGCTCTCTGGTGGGAGATAAGGGGGCACACAAACAGTCATACTCTCTTCCTCTTTGCAGTTTTTTTCCAAAAGTGTTTCCTGGAGATAGACGTTTTTGTGGTTGTTTTACTCGTCCCTCCTCATGTGGCTTGTGTGCTCGGACCACTGCTATTTTTTTTATGGGAGGCTTTTTTTGCGTCACGGTTTAATGCACACATGAATGTTTGCCCAGGCTTATCCATCTGTGCTTATTCTTGGACTGGCCTCTAGCCTGTGGTCCTGATTGGCCCGTGTGTCTCCCCTTGCCTCGGGGGTATTCCTGTATGGGCAGGATTTCCTGGGATTCCCCTTTGTATCCTGACACTGTGCTTCCCTTTTTCCAAACAACACATGCAGAGATGCACAAAACCCATACACGCAGAAATTAGGGTTACTCACCATTTATCCTCATACAAGCTCACAGGAAGGGAGTGAAGTAGAAGAATACAAACTTTTGCCACTATAGTCACATGGATCAAACTTGTGCCTTGTTTCCTTGGAGACCACAGTGGATCAGATAGTGAGGGGAACTGACCACGGATGAAAGAACACCCTCATTTTATTCCTCGGAGCCTTCTCTGTGTTTGCTCCGACTATCTGTACTCATCGAAGATTTCTTATAGAATGGTAGAGCAGAGACTAGTGAATGGGATGACCTTTTGTGAAATTAAGAATTGAGCAGAGGGGTGAGTCTATTTAAAGATCCTTAAAGGGACAGTATGCCCTGATGATATGAAACTATAAATCAGTAAACAAAAATAATATAGTGGTGATATCAAGAATCCTCTATTACACATCAGTACTGCAGTCCCTCTGTGATCATACAGGTTTTAGCTGCAGAATATAAAGCAGAGATGGAATAAAGTAGTTTAACATATAAGTAGGCCACTAACTATCTGGCTAACCTGTTGTGTCTAATATACATTTTCTTTCTTTGCAAGTATACACATGTAAATTAATTTCTTGCATAGGTTACTTTGTTCTAGAAGCCACCCAGCTGACATAAGACAAACCTGCACACACACACACAGTTTTAAGCCACAAATGGCAATGATCATTAAGAGAACTAGAATAGTAATGAGTAGAGCACATACCTCCACCAAGACCCATCAGCCCCTTTATGAAAGCACATTACATTCACTAGATCCAGATTTATATTTTGGATCTGCACATTGCATACACTCAGTCTCCTAAAAAAAACATGAATTATTCTCTAAAATGAAAAGGTTGAAAAACTCGTCTTCAAAACTTATCTTACAACGTTAAAGAAAATAATAAAAAATATCCTGGATCCGTCCCCTGATCCACCAAAATGTAATTGGTTCTTTCCTGACTCGTACCACATTCTAACATTGAATTTCATGAGAATCCATCCAGTAGTTATCATGTAATCCTGCAAACTTACAGACAAATGCAGATGAAAGCATAACCTCCTAACAATACAGAAAACAAAAATAATAGAATGATCGCATGACTATTTGAACTTGAAGTTCTTCATAATTAGTACTGATTGATGTGGTGACACCCACGGTTAGTGGGCAGATAAGCAGATACAGATACTGAGCAGATAATTTGTCAGAAATGCAGCGGTAGAGAAACAGGTGTGTAAGTCATTGGTCTAATTTCATCCTAGTTTTCCACACAACAGCAGAAAAACAGAGTTGGTTTTCGGTTGTTGAGAAGACTGAAGTGTACAGCCTGTTGCCGTTACTTCTATTTGTGACTGTGGTGCAGCAGCAGGACTGGACTAACCTGCTGGTGGATCCCTGGGGGCAAATAGTTGAGATGTGGCCCGTTGCTGAGCCCATGTCTTAGTTTGATCAATCACATGTGCACAACTCACAAGTTTCCACACAGTGAACCTTTGTGAAGCTCTAGTGCGTGAGGAGAGGGAACAGTAAACACCGAGGCTGATCTAAATGAGATAATACATGTGTTACATGTACGCAGTGGTGGAGGTCAACAGAAATGTTCCCAGGTAAAAGTAAAAGTACCACATTACTGAGTAAAAGTATATATTTGTTAGTATTACAAGTAAAAGCACCTGCCAAGTGTATCCTATTTAATTTTTCTTATTTCTTTAGTGCTGCACTTTGCTGTCATTGAAGGAGGCGGGGGCTAATGTTACCTGTCAGCTTTGGATCAATGTACACATACCCTTCTCGTCATTGATTTACTTTAAAACATATAATAATACAATTCAATATAAGAATATAATATAATTCAATGAAAAAAATCCTTTATAAAATTGTGTTGTAGAGAGTACAGATAATTGCTGACATATGTAGTCCAGTAAAAGTGAGAAGTACCTGGAAATAAATCAAGAAGTATAGATACTTGAAAAATTGAATGAAGCACAGTTACTCAGTCAATGTACTTTGTTACATTCCTTTGTGCTTTTAGTAGCCATCTGAATATGGGACTGACATTGAAAACCACCAGTCATGGAGGTTATTTATCACTATGTTTCAATCCTCTCAAAGCAGAGAGGTAGACAAAAACAGGAGAAGAAACCCTGTTGCTGCAGAGATTTGTTCAGAAGTAATTACTCCTTAAAGAGGCTCAAACGTAATGCTGGAGGGACCCCAGCTGCCACACATCCCAGGTCTGCCATCGATTTTCTGTTTCTTTGTAAATTAATGGCTGACACACACACGCACACACACACTGACAGAAGAATCGAGGAGGAGACCAAGTTTAACCAAATAGCTGCTTCATTAATTCTTCAATCAGCTGGACTTAATGGACTCACAAACAGCTTCTACTGAAGCTGTCCCTCTGTGTGTATGTGTTCACTTTTTCCTTAATTTAAAAGACAAGTTATTACAACATGAATAAGAGTAATAACAAGGCAAAAGAGATCAAGGAAAGTCTATTAGCCTGTTGTGCATGTATGTGTTTAGATAGACAAAGCCTGTCTCGTTCTGACCAGCAGCCACAGCACACGTCCTCTGGTTTCATTTTAATCAGTGTATTAGTATTACCAGTACGTCGTGAATCACAACTCAGGGGAATTTCAGGAAGAAGATTTGCTAACAAAGCAAATCCGTGGACAGCTCTGGGACTGCAGCTCTGTCCTCTACTTTCTCTGACTGTGTTTTGTTTTTCTGCAGTTGACTGGAGCGTGTGTGGTTGTGTGAATGACTGGTGAAGCTTTGCATCGAGACGTGTGATCAGTGCTTGCCTGATACGTGTTTGGAAACACTAATGACTCTGGGGCTGAGCTGACAGCACAGACGTCTTCTTTTTCCCTCTGATTTTCCTGTTTATAGCCACTATTTGATTTTCATATCACTTACAACCTTCCATTTATCCAGAGCAGGTCAAGAAGCAGGGCAGGACTAATTAGTTCTTGTTGGCAGCTTCTTATGTAGACATGATGCAGCCTCAATGTTATTTGTGTGAAATTGGAGTAAATCACTTGTCAAAGATGTGCCAACAGCTGCGCTACGATTCCACAGTGACAACCGAGCTATTGTACCTGTGTGAGCTAAAGAACACAAGGACATGCCCTTATTTCAGAGCTGCTCATTAACAAAAGAGTCAGTACTGTGACTCCCTACTTCCACGTGGGTTAAAACTACATCTCAGTCCACAGGACTTTGAGTCACTGCCATTCACTGCTGAGAGGTTTTGTGTTTATTTTACAGACTGATTTCTCCATTGAATCCGTCCTAACAGTTTCAACAGCAGTGGGCAGCCACAGCTCACAAAGACCAACTGCATGTCTGACTAATTGAATAACTACACCTCTCCCCTGTCTGTGTTTGCCTTTTCTCCTCTCCAGATGTTCGTTGTTGACAAGGTGGAGGATTTTAACTGCATCCTTCATGAGTTCTCTATAACTGGTTCTACATACGCCCCAGAGGGACAAATGTAAGTATCACAGTTACAGCATGTATTACTTTAATTGGGGCTCGCTGTGCAACTGGAATACCTCATCAAATGATCATCTCACATTTTACCAACATATTTCTCAATGATTGCAAGTACTATGAACTGTTATCTTCAAAACAACATACACGCAAACTGTGTTGTGGTCCAAGATGTGTCACACTGCTGTTAATGATTTCCCTGAAAATGTGGCTAGCTGTGCTTAATACACAGAGAGGGGAAAAAAATCATTTTTAATTGGACCAAAAGCAGCAGGAGACGTTTTAATTCGGTGTTTGGAGGCTTTGGGTCTAATTAAAATGCAAATCACAAATTTAATTTGGGAGTACTTTTAGAACAATCTTGATTTTAACTTGACTGGAACAATGTCATTAGCACATCTTTTTTTTAATTGTAGAAATGTTGCCAAAGTTAGTTTATTAAACTCATAAGGATGTTGAGATGCTTGTTCGTGATTCCCTTTTTACTGGATTACATGAATATCTGTAAGAAAACTACAGTTAGTTCAAGATAAACTTACCAGGATATGTTTCAGTAAACCTATGTTTCAGTTACCTCTTATGTGCTAACTCTCATGCAGTATCATCAACCCTCTGCTGCTCTGTAGTTTTTTACTGAATTACTCACTTTCTTGGTTGTAATTGTTCAAGTGGAGAGTGAATAGTTTAACTGAGCAAAGGGATTTAAACAAGTCAGAGTATTTCAGTAAAATTCATTTGCGGAGGAATACAAGTACCTGTAGGTGGCGAGTCATTATGTAGGAGAAGGATTTCTGCACTTCATTGTGTATGCATGTTGTTTATTTTGCTGTTTGGTGAGTACAGCTTTCTGACTCTGCATGAACCTGTCGATTTCATAACAGCAGAGTGTGGGTTATTGTGTGGGAGCCTGGCTAGCAACCGTTGCAGTCTCTACTGGGAAGGGATCCATGGTTGTCATGCAATCAGCACCACTCGTCCGGAACACGCACGCACACACACGCAAACACAAATGCACTGTTTACTACTGTACAAACACTGTTCCTCTAGTCAACTTTGAAAAGCTAAACAACTGAATGTCTTCATGACCTCGTAAATATTGATGAGTTCACCGGGTCTGAAGTGTAGCGAACTGTGAGGGTTTTTCCCCCAGCGTGTTGTGGCTGATGTTAGTGTGTATGTGTGTCTTTGTTTTTCTTCTAGACTGAAAGGAGACAGGCCCGTCCATTGTGGAGATTATGATGGACTTTTGGAGTTGGCCACTGTGTGCTCCATGTGCAATGACTCTTCACTGGACTACAATGAGGTCATTACCACACACACACACACAGATATTATTACAGATTCCATGCAAAATAAACTGATCGGAAACCCACTCAGTATTGCGTATGTCAGGTTTCTTTGCAAATTCCCTCATGCAATGTCTATGTGTGTTATATATAATATCCTGTGAAGACTCCTCTTCTGCAGAGCTAATTTTACTCTGGTGTAAAGTCATTTTCTCTGGTTTGTATTGCTTTCTCCCCTCTTTGTTATCGTCATGTTATCATGGTAACCATGCTGAGGAGAGAGGGCAGGGATGAGGCACTTCTCAGAATCCACTTGTCCTCCCTTGACTAAATGTTTCTGTGCTTGTGAATAATCGTTTCCTCACCAATTTTGTGCATCTATGATCAAAAATCCTGCGAGTGAGAATAAAAGTGTGTTAAACCGGAGGAAGGGGGTGGGGTGGATAGCAGGCGAGAGCTGGAGAGGTGCGGGTGTTATCGCCGTCAGCGCTCACTCAAACAAATGATGTGTGGTGCGCCATGACGGCCTCATCTCACCTACTCCAGTTCTCAGCTGGCGAGGGCGAGCTTTCAAAACCGCTCTGCAAGTATGACTCAAACTCTGTGGAGGCAGAGGTGGATGACCCACAGATTTGCTCACAGCATGTTTGATCCGGAGCTGTTGTGTCATCGTTCATATTTAACAATGGAGTGTGTGTGTAGGTTTGTTTGCCCTCACATGTTATCTACAGTTTAAAGGCATCTGAATTAAATGAATCAGTCCCCAGGATGCCTTCGTTGCACTGCATAAATGTTAAGAACCCACCTGTGACTGTGAAATGTAAACCCTCCGTGGCCACTCCTGGTCATACTGTTCATACGCTCAACTGCACATATCTAATGTTCATATTGTACACATCTTTTTCTAGCGCTTATAATTTGATATACTCTTTTATATTTTTTATTCTTGGATTTATGCTCAGCACAAACATACCACAGCAAATTTATTGTATGTGTAAATCTACATAAAAGCCTATTCTGATTCTTTAGTTTACTGTATCACTTTTGAGCAGCATGTTTCTCTCTTACAGGCCAAAGGCGTTTATGAGAAGGTGGGTGAAGCCACGGAGACGGCTCTCACCACCTTGGTGGAGAAGATGAATGTTTTCAAGACTGACCTCTCCGGTCTCAGCAAGGTGGAACGTGCCGGAGCCTGCAACTCTGTAAGCTGCGTGTGCATGGGTGACTGTGTGGGTGTGGGTGTGGGTGTGTGTGTGTGTGTGTGTGTGTGTGTGTGTGTGCGCAGTCATTTCTGCTTGAGGCTATTGGCTTCTGGCTACATAAACAGCTACTAGCGTAACACACCCAGTTGTTTTTAAAGGAAGGTAGAGGAATTAGAAGACTAGCACATGTGATATCCCTGGTTGTTCAGAATGAAAATAAATCAATTTTAACTGACTATCATCACACCAACAGCGTGACAGGATTCTCAGGTTAAACAATATACCCATGTATCCAGGATAACCTGAAAACTACTGAGATTACTTTTCCAGTCATGGAAACAACCTCGATATTGTTTAAAATGACAAAATATCCTGGAAATGAACTTAATTGTCATGGAACTTTTCTGTGTATTTACACCCTTGCATAGATTGCTCACTGTTGATGCTGTCCAGTATGACAGGTTTGCCCTGTCCTGTAATTATAGGCCACTAGGGCAGCATGTCACAACCCATTACAATATTACCTGAAAATGTATAGTGTCATTTACTACATTTTATAGAGCTAGAGCATTGTTCATATGAGAGACCTGCGTATAATCCAGAGTTTAGAGTAACTGAAACATTTCAACTGTGTTCAAGTAGTTCAAATAACAAAAACATGTTTACAACTGAGAAATGGTCAAGAGGTTACACTGAACAATAGTATGTGCTGCACGCACTGCACATTGTTAATATTCATACTCTCATTATACCGCAGTGCACTGCACACTGCCATAGTTGTGCACATGCACGTGGTGACCCAGTGTACCTCTTCTTTACATATCTGTACAAGATAAAATTTTTGCATTAATCATTGTTGCTGCTCTTATCCACAGTGACTTACAATGAGTTCTAATAAGGCACAAAGTTGTTAACAGACACGTTTGACTTTAGGGTGTGAACATGTGATTGTTTGGTTTGAAATGTCACTCATAAGATATCTGTTTTTTTAAACTTATGTTCACATTACTATTAATTGTAATACAAAATCAACAAATATCACCAAATGTGGATGCAGAAATATATTCAGAGGAAAGGAAACGGCACCTTTGTATGATAAAACCATTAGTTTGAAACATAGTCATCACAGACCAATGCAAACATTAAGAGAAACAGTATCTCATACTGTTGAGCCTAACTCAATGCATTGACTATGAATGAAAATGGAAACTTAAGTAAAGAAAACTATTTACAAGATGTATATAGGATTAGAAGAAGTAAAAATATAGCATCACATTTATATTTCATCCCATTCTTTCTCAACCTTCTTCCCTTGTGTGGATCTCTTTCTTTCTAGTCATTTATTTACTGTATGTATATGTATACATATAAATCCATATGCATTATCAACATGTTAATATTTGTGTTGATCCAGGAGGAGTTGTACACTTACAGTCAGCTAGATCCAAAAAAGGCAGAACGTTAATAAATGGGCCCCTGAATTAGTTTCTCTCTGACGTTATACAAAATGTTTTCAGGTTCACACTGTGATACAAGCTCATTAAAGGAGTTTCTTTTGGAATAATTGGAGAAACATCCTCAGACTTTTCTTTGTTTAAAATGCTGTTTAGACCGTAAGCCTGCTGTTGCATTTATTTGCATTCAAGTCAATTGTGGCTGCAGCTTATCTCAAACAAAGGGATCCTCTATGAGAAGGTGTCAGGTGTATGTGGAAAGTGTTGAGTCTGGGCTGTGTGTGAGAGTAATGCCCCAGTGAGATCACGCAGCTGATGTTGGTGTGTCAGTGCAGCGAGTCTTTTCCACTGGTTCTGAGCCTTCCCGCTCCACTGTGGGTAAAGGTCATGGAAGCCCCTGTCGGTCTCACTTTCAGGAAGAACAAAGCTCGTCAGTGACAAACACTTTGGAGTCTCACATGAAATAAGCTTTGTGGTGACAGCAAACATTTACTGGGTTTAAATTTAAACCTGTGAACAGGCCAGTGCACTGCAGGACACGTCTTGACAATAATATGCATCCTCAGCAAATTAAAGATGAGATGACTCAAACTTTCCAAATCTCACCAGGGCACAATAAATAGAATTTTACGTCTTGCCCTGTTTGGTAAAAGTGGCAGGTTTGTCACATTGACAGATTTCAGCACATCCATCACATGTCAAGTTCCCTGGCATGGTGTGTGTACATCACAGCATCCCAGCCATGTGTTGTGCAGGCAGCATTATCAATGCTAACCTTTCAGCCTTGCATGTGCACCAAGATCAGCATAGACTCTGAACTAGAGGGACACCTACTGGTAGAATAGGACTTGACACTAAACTCAGATAAAACATTGTGGAGGGACCTGGCCTTATGCACAATATTGTGTTCCTATAGTAACCCTATTATGATTTACCTTCATATATTTGCAGTTGTAATTGCTAACCACCCTCAGCCAGGTCGACACTAACATCAGCTGCTGTTCACATGTTGCAGTCAGATATCCAGACATGGTGGTTAAGTAAATCAGGTTTATAGTGTCACCCTGTCAGTAGCTCAGCCAAACTTCTCAGTCACAGCTACCAGCCTGACGGCAGCCCATTAATGTCTGCTTAATGCTTTTGACTCTTTTTCACCACTTCCTTCTTCTTCTTCTTTTCTTCCTCCTATGTCTTCTCTCCCATTTCCTCCCCTGTTCATATCCATCAGGTGATCAGACAGCTGATGAAGAAGGAGTTCACCCTGGAGTTCTCTCGTGACCGCAAGTCCATGTCCGTCTACTGCACACCAGTCAAGCCGGGCTCCCAGAGCAAGATGTTCATCAAGGCATGAAATAATAGTATAAACCTGAACACATATGAAAACATGTTCCGTTTTTGCCATTGTTTTATACCTTCTCTTGTTGTCCATTACAATCTGTCCCCACAGGGTGCTCCAGAGAGCGTGATCGAGCGGTGTAAGTACCTACGGGTGGGGACAGGAAAGGTGGCGCTGACACCAGACCTGCGTGAGCAGCTTTTGTCTAGGATCAGGGACTGGGGGACAGGCAGGGACACCCTGCGCTGCCTGGCTCTGGCCACTCATGACACCCCACCACGCAAAGAGACCATGGACTTGGAGAATTCCAACAAGTTTGCAGATTATGAGGTACATCTCATGTCTTAGCTTAGGAAACCCTTGTGCATTTACACTTATTTTCTTTCTTGACAAGAGATGTGTGAGAAGATCCATACCACCCTGATCGCTCTCCACTAAATGTTAAGCCAGTTTCAGTCACAGGCCCTTCTTCAGGTCTGTTGTCTCTTGTTTGTAGCCACTGGTGCACGTTTAAAAGTTTAAACGTGCCTAGTTACCTGGCCTGTGGTGATGCTGGTTGTAGCTGTCTGTCTGAAACTGTAAAAGTGACCTGCAGCAGTTGAGCTGTGAAAGTAGTTCTGTGAAAGTTAAGACCAGCTGCAGGAAAAACCCAGAAGTTCCACCACCTGTTAACCTAAGCTTGAGTGTGTGTGAAGCTGAACGGTTCTCAAGATATACAAGCCATATACAGACAGAGATTTCTGGAATTAGTAGACAGACAGATTAGTAGGTAGGTAGATTGATTAAATCTCTATCCAACTAAAGAATTACGCTTTACACTTGTTTTTTCTCCCCTTGAACATTTTAAATCCTTGTTTTCAGCAGCAAAACAAATAGAAATGTGGTAAATTCAATTATAGCTACAATTCTGTGCAAATAACCCCCCCCCCCCCTCTCTTTTTCTCCCTTCAGTTGAGTCTCACGTTTGTTGGTTGCGTTGGCATGCTCGACCCGCCCAGGAAGGAGGTGATCAGTGCAGTGAAACTGTGCAAAGAGGCCGGCATTCGCGTCATCATGATCACAGGAGACAACAAGGGCACAGCCGTGGCCATCTGCAGACGAATTGGCATCTTCGGGGAGGAGGAGGAGGTGTCTGGAAAGGCCTACACGGGCCGCGAGTTTGATGATCTCGCACCTGAGGCGCAGAGAGAAGCCGTCAAACGGGCGCGGTGCTTCGCCCGTGTCGAGCCGGCTCATAAGTCTAAGATCGTCGGATACCTGCAGTCATTCGACGAGATTACAGCCATGGTGAGGAGAGGGGGTGATGCAACTCACTCAACTCAGAGCTCAAATGAGTCCCCCCCCCCACCCACTTCAATTTCCAAACACTTGTATATGCGTCCTGCAAATACACACATTATACTCTTAGTCAGACATGTCTTGTTTTAAAGCAAGGCAAAATGCTTTTTCTCCTTCCTCCGCCCGTGTGTGGAGTGAACAGGATGCATTAGTAGAGGCCAGCCAGGCTTGTCGTGTTCTTTCTAAAGCTGCTCTCTCAGACACTGCTATCTAAAGCTGTCATCTCTGGCCCGCTCTGCTGCCACCCATCTCACACATATCAGAAGAGGGGATGATGGGAGGGAGGGAAACTACAATTTTCACCATTTGCCTGTCAAGACAGACTTCAGCATTCACCACAATCTAAAGCTACTTCAGGCCCCGTTTCAACAGATCAGTATCTCCCTCTTCATAAGCTTTGACTTAATCCTGTCTGGAGTTTGCATAATGAGGTAGCAGTTTGTCTTGAGCCAGTGTTACTTTGTTAGACTCGTCACTGTTTAAAGAATAAAATATAAATGTAGTATTTAAAAAGTAAGGAACTCACATTAAAGCAGTAATGATTTCAATTTTGTTATTTCTGTCACAAGATTATAAGATAGGCTGCACCTATATTGATCCTCAGTAGAGGATATTCAAAATAGACACAGCAGCACCAGGAAGTAGCAGCACATGGGGAAAATGTAAGAAATAAGAATTGAAACAAAATTTAGAATAAAAATAGAAACAGAAAATATTAAGCTCAATAGAAAGATATAAGTTGTGTTATTGTGAAATTTGTCCAAATATCTCTGTAATATGCAATATACAGTATGTGCAGTACTTTCTTGGATTATGGATATTAGTCTTAACTGTGGGTGCTGTGGCGTTGTGCAGTCTGACGGCTGATGGCACAAAGGAGCCCCCCAAATGCTTTGAGGCATGGAGTGGTCGTCCATGATGGCTTTTAGTTTTCCTCTCATCTTCTTGTCTGTCACTGCCTCAACACTGTCCCCACCTCACAGAGCTGGCCATCCTCACCACTTTGTTCAGTTTGTTGGTGCCACAGCTCTCTGTGACACCTCCCCATCTGATCCATTCAAAGTACTACCTGATCTTGAAAGTAGTACCAGAAAATATCATCTCTCATTGGTGTTGCAGCCTCAGAAAATAGTTCTGAAAGATTCTTTCATTCACACAAGTTATATTCAGTGTTTGTTTCATTGTTTACTTATCAGGAATTTAAACATTTTACACTACTTTTCATTTAGTTGACGCTTTTATCCAAAGTGACCTTGAGGGTACAAACCCAGAACAACAAGAATCATGTAGCATGTAGAAGTACATTAGCTTCAAAAAAGCCAAACTATAAGTGCTACATGTAGGTGCAATTGATAAGTGCAACAAAACTAAATAATAATAATTATTAGCATTTTTTTATATAAACACCAGAGTCGACAGATGGTTATTAAACATCATCTTCTTAACCAAGGTGCAGTCAGAAGAGTTGTATCTCATAATCTTGTGTCTCTGATGCATCAATGATACAAGTCATTCCCTTCATGTTGTAGACAGGAGATGGTGTGAATGATGCCCCAGCTCTGAAGAAAGCAGAGATCGGCATCGCCATGGGCTCAGGAACTGCAGTAGCCAAGTCGGCGTCTGAGATGGTGCTGTCTGACGATAACTTCTCCACCATCGTGGCTGCCGTGGAGGAGGGCAGAGCCATCTACAACAACATGAAGCAGTTCATCAGATACCTCATCTCCTCCAACGTGGGGGAGGTCGTCTGGTGAGGAAAACAGGAAAACACACGTCATGCAGACTTCTCCTTCAGTCTGACCTCCTCGGCTGACCTCGCATGTCTCCTCTTTGTCCATCTTCAGCATCTTCCTGACCGCCATCCTGGGTCTCCCCGAAGCTTTGATTCCAGTGCAGCTGCTGTGGGTTAATCTGGTGACCGATGGCCTGCCCGCCACCGCCCTGGGCTTTAACCCTCCAGACCTGGACATCATGGACAAACCACCCCGCAACCCAAAGGAGCCTCTCATCTCTGGCTGGCTCTTCTTCAGATACCTGGCTATTGGAGGTAGAATTCCTGTGAATCAGTGACTCTGACATCGTTTATACAGGTGTCCAGTTAAATGGTGGATGTTTGGGCAGTAGAAGAGTAGAAAACACATTCCTCCAATGTCATGGACTTTTTCAGTAGTAAGAAATGATGCGATCACTGGAAGGCTTAACCTAAGCAATATGATATTGTAGCATAAAGTGGCAGCCTCTTGTTTTGTGCAAAAACCACTGAAGTTATTATCTCTTGAAGCTGATTTGTTTGTACACTGCACAAAAATCTTGCAATGACATAATTTGAAAACTCACCTACAGTCCAGCATAGAAGCAAGTCGAGGTATAGTCATATTTGCAGTGATGGATCTAGGGCCAGGGGCCGTAAAGGGGCCACAATTTACACAGAGGGGCCAATTATATGTCAAGAACAAATACTGATTCAGTAAGGTGCACATTTAAGTAATACCTTGTTTACTACTAGCTCTATAGCTTTGAGCAAAACCGCACAACATTGAATATATTTTAAATTTGTTTTTATTGTTTAAGCATATTTTTTACTTCAAAAAGATAAGAAAATAAAATTCATAAAAATGCATCATATTTATTTAAGTGAGTGACTAGTTTATTTTTAAAATAAGATTACTGACAGGACAGGGGCACTTCAAGAGTCATTCAGATTTCTCCCATGGATCCATCCCTGAATGTTTGACTCAATTTCCTTGAAAGCTATCTGTGACATGTGTGAATTGACGTCTGGTGTGCACGTATGTCTCTGACTTCCTGTAGGATACGTGGGTCTTGGAACGGTGAGCGCTGCCACATGGTGGTACCTGTATGATGAAGACGGCCCACAAGTAACTTTCTATCAGCTGGTGAGTTGCAAGACGTTATTCAGCTCAGTCGGCCTTGTTGTGTTCTGCTGCACAGTTCTGTCCTCAGAAGGCAGGGCTTTTATTACTGCTGTATGTTGATATGCACCACCCTCCGTGTTTTCTCTACATCCGCTCCTGTTGGACTCAGTGATGCTCAGTGATCCCAGCAGAAATGCAGAAATAGAAAGAAACGTATGACCCCGGTGGTTTGATTGCACACAGGGCAGGAACGAGGCCAAAAATTATGCAGCTGTTCTGAGCTCAGTCAAACCAGGTCACTGAGGTCCTAGTGACATGCTCACACTAACACACTCTCTGTCCGTTTCTCTCTACAGAGACATTTCATGCAGTGTACTGTGGAAAACCCTGTGTTCAAAGGCATTGACTGTGAGGTGTTTGAATCCCGCTACCCCACAACCATGGCCCTGTCTGTGCTGGTCACTATCGAAATGTTCAACGCACTCAACAGGTCAGTCATCTTATGTTATGATGTCGAGGTAAACAGATCTTTAACATCGCAGCTGTTGGCTAGAAGAGACATTGTCATCCAACAAAACAGCCTGACAGATAACAGCATACTTACCATGCTATTAAAACACATCTATCACTAGCATCCATCCCATTCTCCGCTAAATGACTTCATGTTGCTGTTCATAAAGACCATATTTTTAATATCCTGCATTTGGTGGATGTGGCAAATGAATCAGGCTCAGGCACACATCTTAAGAAATGGAATAATGCTTTTTTGAGGAGACAGGAAATAAAAGGAACAGTGGTATGAGGGGAAAACTCCATGTGTTTTTGCCAGGATCGCTCATGGAGCAAGTCTGTCAGTAGCTCCCTATAGAAACAAATTCTAATGTCTCACTTAGGAAAGAATCTGAGAGAGGGAAGGTTAAAATAAAGGAGTGTCTGACCAGTGAGAGTGCATTTTATCCAAAACCAAGAGGGGACACATGTTGTCATGGTTGCTAGCAGAAGGGAGACTTGTTGTTATGATGCATTTAGTGACATTTAGAGACAAACTACTAATTAAATGTGAACTATCTCTTGTGATAATCATGTAATTGTCTTATGAGAAATCCATGAAATCTTTGATAGCTGTGAGCTTGCCAGAATATCCTTGTTAGATCTTGGAAACATGAGCTGAACTGTCAACATGTTTTGATCTATGAAAACTCCTCCCTGACAGTTTGTCTGAGAACCAGTCTCTGATCAGGATGCCTCCCTGGGTCAACATCTGGCTGCTGGGAGCCATCATCCTCTCCCTCTCCCTGCACTTCTTAATCCTCTATGTGGAGCCTCTGCCGGTGAGTACACAGGGTAGTTGTTTGAATAGTTGATAGGGACTGTGTAGCTGCCACTGATCCTAATTTAGATCTATGTAAAAATCGTAAAAATACATATTCTGATAATATCCATATATTATCTTGTGTGTTTTGAGTGTTTTTTTCTAGACATAAAGTTTTATACCTGCCTTGTTTGGTCCAGACCTTCAGACTTTTCAGTTTAATTTGATCAAAATAGTGTGAAAGGTGCCTGACTATGGTCCAGACTAACAGACTAAAATTTAGAAGAGGTCTCGGTTCAGATTTAATGAGCAGTGGTTTGGCTCATTATTTAGGGGGGTTACTTTGGACGAAGTACGAAGAGGAAGTGGCTGGCAGGATTGCTTGTACTTGTAATACATCCATATTGGTAATTTTTGACAATATAGGCACATTTTTGAATGGCAGCAAAGTTCATTTTGCTGGTAGTAAAACCATAATGATATTCGACGGCAAAGAAATTTAAGAAATGAACAGGTTCATTCATTTTCTCCATTCAAACAGAAAGACGCCTTTTTTTCTTTGCACTTTCTCCAAAAATGTTAGTGAACACAACATGCCAGCATTAGATCACGCCTGTCTACAGACCAATCAGTGTCAAGTGTAGGTAGATGCAGCCCATGTAGGTGATTATGACAGGTATGTTAACGCCTGCAAATGGGAAAAACGTCTTTATTAACACATGCAGCATTTAGAAAAAAGTGCAGCCTGAGAAAAAACACAAGTCGTCCAAAACTGGAGTTATGATGACAGCATGCTCGTTCTTCACTGATCACATTTATATGGATTGAAAATATCAATACTGTGAAGCACCACTCAGAAAAATACTTGAAATGAGTCACAGGGATTAGGAATTTGACTTAGTCTCCATGGAAACACATGAGGGTTTAAAAGTCCCATCTCACAGCCGTCTCCCCCACTTCATCCCCTCATGGTCCAGCTCACGTTTCACAAGAGACGTTTCTAGGGGTCTGATATGATTGGTGTGTTCATCATGTTTGAGTGTCCCCTTTGTTTTAACTAATTTCACTGTGTTTTGTGCAACGTCAGCATTTGTTGTGTTTTCTGTATCTGCAGCATGTTTCTTTATCTACGGCATGTTTCAATGTCTGTAGCATGATTCTTCATCTACAACGTGTTTTAATGTCTGTAGCATGTTTCTTCATCTACAACATGTTTCTTCATCTACAACATGTTTCAACGTCTGCAGCATGTTTCTTTATCTACAGCTTGTTTCAACGTCTGTAGCATGTTTCTTCATCTACCATGTGTTTCAACGTCTGTAGCATGTTTCTTTATCTACAGCTTGTTTCAACGTCTGTAGCATGTTTCTTCATCTACCATGTGTTTCAACATCTGTAGCATGTTTCTTCATCTACCACATGTTTCAACATCTGTAGCATGTTTCTTCATTTACGGCATGTTTCAAGGTCTGTAGCATGTTTCTTTATCTACAGCTTGTTTCAATGTCTAGCATGTTTCTTCATCTACCGCGTGTTTCAACATCTGTAGCATGTTTCTACATCTGTAGCGTGTTTCTGCAGTGTTTATGCCTTTGTGTTGTGCACATTGTCTCTAACATCTAATTGCCTCTGCCCATTCCCTCTGTCCTCCAGCTGATTTTCCAGGTGACCCCCCTGCACTGGTCCCAGTGGATCATGGTCTTGAAGATTTCCATCCCGGTCATTCTCCTTGATGAGGCGCTGAAATATATCTCCAGGCACCATCTAGAAGGTATGTTGAGTCATGAATCAACCAATTAAACATCTGGTTTTATGTATCTGAAGCTTATCAAAATGTATCTGAAGCTTAAAAAAATAGGTGTGTTGACCTTCAAAATCAGAATATACTAACTTGTCTCCTCTGCTCTTTTTCTCCTTCCTGTATTTCAAATCTAGCCTAAATTCTTTATATCTCACCTTCTTTGAAAAGGTACTTCTATTTCCAACCTCTGCATTCCTTCTCTGTCCTGTAGAAACTTACAGCTGTAGACTAACCACACTAGTCACTGGTCCCTAAATTTTTCATTTTGTGTTTTTCAGTTGATGATGAGAAGAAATATCGGAGGAGATGGCAGTCGAACTAAGACCTCTCCCTCAACACCCTCACTCAGTTAGACACACGCTCGCCCTCTCCCCTTTATGAGCTAGGAAACCTTTCCTCTCCCCTTGTCCTCGTTCCCCTGACTCCTGCATGTCCGTCAGACCACCACTAGAGATGAGCAGGGTTTGCATGAGTGCAAGAAAGAGAGAGCGTGTGTGTGTTCCTGCGAGCATGGCTTTGTACAAGTGTGTGAGGGGATGAACAGCGTGTTTGTGTGTGTGAGATAGAACAGACAGATGCAGGGCTGTCTTTATAGCTGTGAGAGTGAGAAACAACTGCAAAAAAAGGGTAAAAAATAGATAAACTGCCCAGGGCTCTGCTTTTTAAAGATTTCTGCTCATTGCTTTTTTTTTTGACTGTACAGTACAAACATAGTGGTGCAGAAACTGGACTTTGGGGAGGGAAGGAGACGGAGGACAGGGGGATGGAATTTGTTGGGTTGGAGGAGAGTTGGTTTGAAATGGGCACAGAGACTGAATGCTGGATGAAGAGGTGAAGCCCGCTGTGGAGAAGAGACTGATGTAGGCACTGGCAAGAGAAGAGCATCAGAAAGAATGTTAGACCAGTGCAGAGAGCCATCACAACTGTGTGTGTCCATAAGAGTGTTGAATCTCACGGTACCCCCCAGGCTCCGGCCACCCACACCACTGGCGGCGGATTTCCAGCTGTGCAGGAGCACGGCCTCATCAGCACAACACAATCGTATCTCTGGCCCAATCTGCTCCGGCTCTGCTCCTTCATCGCTCTTCACTCTCACCGTATACAAACTCCCAATGATTGTACTTCATGCAGACTTACTCTCCTTTCGCTCATCTTGCTCTCTCGCCGTCTCGCTTACTTGCTCTCTATCGAGGTGGCAGCTGTGGGCCCGCCCCCTCTCCCGGGGGTTGCGACATTTACCTGGCTCTCGAGTCGGTGTGTGGAGGTGTCGACACACCCCCCCACCCTCCCACCAGCACCACCACCTAAAGGTGTGAATAGCTTTACGCTGCTTGGCACGCTTCCTCCAGCTCTTTCATTTCGAGGGGTTGAGGTCAGCTCACACAACAAATAAAAACAAAAGAAAAAGAAAGAAATAATGTTAGTAGTGTAGTTTTCAGCCTCACTTTAACTTCCATCTGCTGTGCTGTCAGACATGTAAATTAAAGGAGGACCTGAGCATTTCATGCAGAATAACCACCACAGAGCATCATGGGGTTCATGTACCTTTAGTTTCAAGTTAGTTATTTCGAACCCAGCAGCATTGCTAAGATGTGTGTGTGTGTGTGCGTGCGTGCGCGTGCAGCCTTACTTGAATTGATTTGACTTGACAGGATTTACAGTCACGGGAAATGTAGATAAAGTAAGTTAAGAAAATAACTGCTTGACTGTCTTGCTTATGTACTGGACACATCCAACATCCATGCCTTACACAGCTCACTGCACCTCCACATTGAATATGTGGTCCAAATGAATGTGTTCCTGCTATAGCCTTTAATTACCTTTGTACTGCCGCCACTCTCTCGTAGTGCCCTGACAGTGATAACAGACTTTGAATGTCCTGGACTGAGGCGTGTTCAATAGGAAACCTTTTTTTTCCTCTATCTCTCGTGCTTTGTGCGCTGCTCCCTCAGCTCCTCCTGCTCTTTCAGTGCTTTAGCGCTGCTCACTTGGGTATTGTTTTGTAATAAATAAATAATAATGTATTTGACTGAATGAACCCACGGGCGTGTGGATTGTGTCTCAAAGTCTTAATTAAGGGTCTTGTGTTGGGCCCTGGCGCTCTGTGGACTCGGTCAGGGGTGTTTTTTGGTCTTTTGTGTGCACATTAAAAAAAAAACTTTGTAAAGGTGCTGGATGAAAAATAGGAAAAATATCTCACTGTATCAACTGCTTCCTGTATAGTTAATTTGATAGAAGTCGTCAAGGTAGAGCTGCGGTTATTAGTTCATTGAAAAAAGAAAAAATGGCAACTATCTCACATTACAGTAAATATTATTTTGCTGGTCACACAAAACAGGACATTGTGCTCGGTTTTTTCACAGTTTTCTATGGCGATTTGGTTTATATGGTTGATTTACTGAGAAAACAAAGGTGATGCAAAGAATATGTTGTGGCCCTGCTTTACTGCAGCTGTTAGGGTATATCTATATAATTCTTTTTTTAAGTAATCAAACCAGGACTCATTAAATCAGTGTGCAGACCTTTATTCTTTTTCTCCCCTATTTTCACTTCCAGCCCTTTTCAATCAGCAGGGCTCATTTCATGGAGTAAAATCTAAAAGCAAATCCATTCCCAAAATCTTCTACAGCCTGATATAGCTTATAGTACATTATATTTTGTCATTTGGTGATTTTCATACATGAATAGAACTAGCCAAACCTTGTTGGTGTGAGTCCAGATATTTCCACATCCATCTAGGGACGATAAACAACGCTCCCCCAGAAACAAATACCCAGATTCTGAAATATTTTGAACAGCACCAATAACCAATATAAGGCAAACACATAAACAGCCTTTATGTTCCATGATTCCTTCAATTATTATTATTATTTTCATGAACGTGACGATGTGGCACCTCTGTCCTGACCAGCAGACCACCCGTCCCTGTCCCAGCTCTCCATGGCTCTGTAACATTCTGGCTCTATAGGTCTGTATAGCCTTGTTCTTTACTACTGAATCCTCAACTCTGTACAGAAGAGGAGATTATGATCGCATGGAACCCTGTTACTGTAATAATAACCTATACACTATATCATTTTTTTCATCATTGAAATCAACTTATTGACAACTGAGACTTCCAAAAAAAACATTTTTTAGTTTTACTTTGAGCTCGTTTTTGTTGAATATTAAAACTGTTTCTTCATTGTTCCCGTTTGGTTTTTACAGTTTCTGGGGTTTTGTGTCTTTTACTGTAGGGATAAAAGAATCAGACGTTACCATGTTAAAGATAGACAAGAATCACGCTTCCGCTAATCAATGAGGATCACGCTGATCATTTCAGTGAGAGTTGTCCAGTGTGAGAATGTTCAGGAGCTTGTGAATGAACTGTGTCTGGTTTACACTGATGTGATAAGCAGTGATGAGTCCTGGCTTATGAAGTTATATGACTGTAAATTGAAGGGTTTGTTGTGGATGCAGGCTCTGGAGACCTGCGACAAGCCAGTATGGTTCTCAGTCAGTCTACCATCAATTAATCAGCAACCCCCCCCCCCTCACTTACAGTGTAGGAGTAATCAGTTTCATATCAGTAACATTTAAATAGTATAGTTCTTATTGTCTTTGTCTGTACAGACAAGTAAACAGTCTCTAGAGCCTGAGTTCCACATCTGAGAAATTAAAAAGGATTCTCTGTATTGCCTTGTTAATATTAATTGTGGACACATAATTTTATAAATGACAAAGACGTGGAAATAAAGATTATTTATCTTGTTATTTATTCGGAGGCTGTGTCTTTTTTTAAATGTATTTTGAATATGGGATATTTCAACCAAAGAAATTGTATAGTCTCAATGGAAACTGTTGTGTGGTTTATCTTGAATAACAAAAAATCTTTATAATGTAATTTGTTGTTGTTGCTTTGCTGATTGTTAACAAAGTTCCATTCAGGGGATTCAGTCTTTAATCACTTAAAACCTGGCCACATATAATAAAGTGGTCTGCATATTTATATTGCTGTTAGAAATTGGGTTATGTAATTGAAATTTATTCTCAAGTGTGATGCAGAGCAGCAAACAAAACATCTATACACACACACACACACACACACACACACACACACAATGCATTCCTTATCATAACCTAAACCATCACAACTAAATGCCTAACCCTTTAAACTAATATTAACATTAAAGCTAAAACACTGATATATTTCGTATCTAAACGGGTTTATATTACCAAAGCACAATCAGGCGATAGATTGTTAATCATACAATCAGTAACATACTGAAACACAGTTTTCTCCACTATTGCTACAAACAATATTCCCCTTCTGTTTAGTCAGTTTGCAGTTCAGTCAAATCATTTACATTTTGATTGATGGTTAATTCCTGTTAATTCCTGATGGTTCTGTCTGGTTAATTCAAGACACACTGCTCTTCACCAAAAACAGAGTCAAAACTTTTATATATGAATGAATGAATACATTTACCGAACAGAAATAGATAGTAGTCTCTTCTAGTGTAAGCAGAAGTCATTAGAAATTATATTTTGTATTTGCAGTGACAGAAACAAAGTTTGCAGAAGTGAATGACGTCAATGGAGGAAAAACTGGAGTGCATTGATGCATTTAGTCCAACAGGGGGGGATGTGCACCACCTATCCTATGTGTATTAATCCACAGTAACAAGTGTCCCCATCCTTTACAAGAAGAAGAATTTACTATTTATATAAGAGGAATATGAACTGGTTGGAAATGTTTCTTCTCCATCACATTTGAACAGGATGAATGGAGGACAATGACCAACCCAGCCTTTATAGCAATGTTTTGCTCTTACTATATGAAAATAGACAGGATAAAGAGCAACGCTAATGCTCCCACTGCTCTCACATGTGACACACGCCTTCTCCAGGGGAAGTTCCTGGAGTGAAGGTGGGATCCCAGGGGCTGCGTTGAGAGGAGAAGAGAATCTCATTAGTATTAGGCTGCTATTTCCACCCTGAACCTCAGAGGGACGCAGGATATGGAGAGTCAGCATTGTCCCAATGAAACACACAGGCCTGCTGGGAAAACATGAGCAATATTAACTAATGGAAAGGTCACACGTGGGGGACAAAGGTGTCAGAATAGAAAAGGTTGTTCTTTTCTCTGCTAAACTTTAATTGAAGTGGTTTCTGTGTCTTTTTTCTGTTGCTGATTTTGCACCAGCAAGAACACCGCCTGTGACGACGGGGTGCAAGATTTGCTCTGATTAAATTGGACGCTCTGCTCACAGCAACCTATGATTGTACTCCAAAAGCACAAAGCATAAAGAGTACCAGGAACATTTATTGTCTGGCAACCAGTATCTTTTATATGAGACCCTGTACTCTGTGCAGGTGAAATAACAAGACCCCCAGGAGCTTCAGCTAAGCACATGAATGACAACAACAAAATCAATGCATAAATTACAAGCACAAACAAAGACTAACTGAGATGAGCATCTCAAATGTCAAACCAGGAGAGCCACAGAGGATCTGTGATAAGGATCTGGTCATGCCATGCCTACATTCAACCACTCTGATGTGGCCTGACTATGCACATACAAGGCCGGACTGTGGCCCATTTGCTCTATGACTCACATGAGAACAAGCAGAGGCTGCTCGCTGTGCGTCGGGCTCTGCGGGGACACACGTCCAGAAAAGTGCCTTGAGAAAGACAAGGGCTGGAAGAGACCGTAAATATGGGGGAGATTTTTAGAGGGAGGACATTCTGCCCCTTATCCCATGGTGTCAGCCTGTGTTGTGCTGCGCGGCTGAAGCTGTTGCCAAGAAACTAAATGAACTTGCTGTGAACTTCCCCCATAGCTGCCACAAGGAAGAGAAAGTACTCTCAGAGGCTGCAGCACCCATTAGAGCCATACTTTCCTTTGCCACCACTTACTGCAGGTTTAAAGTCTCCCAAACTGTGCAGTGTTTACAGTTGTGGGTTAAAGCATGTCATAAAGGTACTGCTAATTTACTCTGTTTTCATGCCAGGTGAATATTGCACTTTCTTACAGCTCTACATTTAAATTTGGCAACTCTAGTTTTC